AGTAAAGTCACAGAAAACGAACTACTACAATGGTGGAGTAACTAAACCAAACAATTTAGTGGAAATAATTTGTGCTAGTAAAGTCACAGAAAACGAACTACTACAATGGTGGAGTAACTAAACCAAACAATTTAATGGAAATAATTTGTGCTAGTAAAGTCACAGAAAACGAACTACTACAATGGTGGAGTAACTAAACCAAACAATTTAATGGAAATAATTTGTGCTAGTAAAGTCACAGAAAACAAACTACTGGACATTTTTAAATCTCATTTTAGACGATTGTTTATACGTTTTTTTTTATGTTTTTTTTTTTCAGTTTTCAAGTAAAAACGTGCTCCCAATCCCAAGATCCTCCAGAGCCTGTTTATTCCTTGTTAAGATAATACCAGTATGAAAATTTGAAACGTTTAAACTTACTTACTTTGAAAGATTTTTTTACGTACCCAAACCAGTTATCGTACAAGTCTTTGAGTACAACCCTGAGATATCTGAAAACTTCTTTGACAAGATATCCAAAATCGGAATTTAGATTATTATTCCGAACAGCACCTCGTACGTTAATACGAATTTTCAAGTTCATTGGTTCGGTCAAACCTGAGATCCCCCCCCTTCAAAAATGTACCTCCACTTACCATTTGTGGGTCCCCTTCACTATTGTATATTCTGTGGGGACCAAGCCATTCAGTCGTTGGGGCGTTATAATGTGACAGTCAATCCCACTATTCGTTGATAAAAGAGTAGCCCAAGAGTTGGCGGTGGGTGGTGATAACTAGCTGTCTTCCCTCTAGTCTTGCACTGCTAAATTAGGGACGGCTAGCGCAGATAGCCCTCGTGTAGCTTTGCGCGAAATTCAAAACAAACATCAAACAAACAAACATCCAACCACTGTAATTGAAAAAGGCTTAGCATCCTTGCAAAACAGTAGACCATACTTTCAAAGGTGCTAACGTGAAACTGACAGCAGGAGTCGCTGTTGGTATCAGTACGATTATAAAACGATTGTTTTATTAATTTATGCCATTTGTCGTAGTAAATTTCAAAGCAGATTGTACTGATTAATTTATTATCGATAGTTAGTCGTTTGTATAATGATTGCTTCATCTGACCTCTTCCACGTAATGGAATATATGCCTTTACTGATCCTTGCAGGGGCTCGGAGGTAACTGGTATGGATTCAAACGTCGGCCTCAAAAGCCGAAGAGGTGAAAGGTTTCCAAGTCTACGATTGGCAAATGGCCGCGTCGTCCACCGGACACCTTCGGAGGAAGATATCCGTTCTCCTCGCGGCGGTCTCCAGAAGGAGGACTCGATCAAAATGAGTGTGGAGAACACGAACACGTGCACGGACTCCCTCATAACTGCAGCTGATGAAGAAGCTTTAGTTAATGACTACATTACTTCAGACATGAACTATAAAGATGGCTGTCCTATCCCTGCTGTTGTTTCACGAGAAGGGACCGGAGAAAAGGACGACATTAGTCTTTATGGGACCCCCAAAGAAGAGGTGGGGCCAGCGCTGAGTGATGTCAAGTCATCTTTCATGCGGGTCCAACTCGAGTCTTTATTCCAACCGTCTGACAACAAGTTAGCTATGAAACTGTTTGGCAGCAAGAAGGCTCTAATGAAAGAACGGATACGCCAAAAAGCTGCGGGACACTGGGTTATCCATCCCTGCTCCCAGTTTAGGTAAGTCTGTGTAATGTTTAATCAGGTATGGAAATGTTCCAAATAAACGAAATACGTCTTGAATGTTTTTTTGTCCTTTTTCAAGGAAAAATTAAGTTTGTATTTTTCTTTATTGTAGTTATTTCCAGTTCCCAAGCAAAGGACACCGTTTTTATTTTATTACATCTTGTTCCAAGTAAAGTAGGTGTTTCCTGTTTTAGTTACATCTTGTTCCAAGTAAAGTAGGTATTTCTTTATTATAGTAACATCTTGTTCCAAGTAAAGTAGGCGTTTCCTGTTTTAGTTACATCTTGTTCCAAGTAAAGTAGGTATTTCTTTATTATAGTAACATCTTGTTCCAAGTAAAGTAGGTGTTTCTTGTTTGTAGTCACATCTTGTTCCAAGTAAAGTGGGTGTTTCTTGTTTGTAGTTACATCTTGTTCCAAGTAAAGTGGGTGTTTCTTGTTTGTAGTTACATCTTGTTCCAAGTAAAGTGGGTGTTTCTTGATTGTAGTTACATCTTGTTCCAAGTAAAGTAGGTATTTCTTTATTATAGTAACATCTTGTTTCAAGTAAAGTAGGTGTTTCCTCTTTTAGTTACATCTTGTTCCAAGTAAAGTAGGTTTTTCCTGTTTTAGTTACATCTTGTTTCAAGTAAAGTGGGTGTTTCTTGATTGTAGTTACATCTTGTTCCAAGTAAAGTGGGTGTTTCTTGATTGTAGTTACATCTTGTTCCAAGTAAAGTGGGTGTTTCTTGTTTGTAGTTGAGATATTTCCGTATGGAAAGTTTCATTTCCGCTCATAATCGATTACAAAACAGAGGATCAAAAAAGTTTGATCGTTGTTGGCTTTCCCGCACTACTCAGTAGAGCGATATGCCCAACGATGAACAGCATACAAAAAACAACCTTCGTTTCGACACAGTGTTTGATTCCTTTTAGCAAAGAGTTGTGTCCATATAATTTCACCTTTCAGAAATGAACAAATTTCGTCAGAACTTTAACCCTTGTTAAATGTATCACGTGTGAACACGCACTTATCATATTGTAGTTTCCCTCAGCTAATCTAAAACTCAACCGTCAAACAACTTGGTGTATTAAGTGTTGAAATTCTTCTTAAAGAAGTACAGGTACCTGACCTCATAGTGTACGGACTACCAAGTTTTCTCCTCATTCGCTGTATTCAAATTAAAATATCGAAATATATTTAATGATAATAATAACGGAACTTCGTATGATCATCCGAAAGTGGTGCTCTGTTTAGAATTCCATAAAAAGAAGAAAAAAAAGGCACTAAATTCATTTGAGTACCGGCAAAATTTCACCAGTGGGTGTAGTAATTGATGATTATATAGCCCTGACAGATGAGATGCAAACTTATTATTCCATCATAAAGCTTTTCAATATTTCATTCGTTGACTACCTGCAATAAGCTGGTTGGCCAATGTGTTAAAAACAGCTGTTAAAAGTTACATGTCCTTTTAAATATCTTCTTATAAACTTTCTCTAATCAGCTTCGGTGTTTCTTTAGATTGGTGAAAACTGGCCAATCAGAGCTAAGAAATTATTTAGATTGGTGAAGACTGGCCAATCAGAGCTAAGAAATTATTTAGATTGGTGAAGACTGGCCAATCAGAGCTAAGGAATTCCACGAATTCTTTTTTCTTTACAACAACAACAACATATTTTATTAATACAATATGATACATTCAAATAACATCCCGCGAAGCTTAAAGTCTATTCACAGGAATGTGCTATTTATAATTGGATCAAATTAAAATTGATCACACATTACTCATAAAATACAATAATATCGTAATATAACATATATATACTGAGTTTGTTTGTTTTTTTATTGTACATATGTTAGTTCATAACTGGATCATTATGTTATTAACCAGTTTTTTTTATCAAATTTTTAACATTAGCATATGTTTTAATATCCATTAAATTTCTTGAAATTGTAGTAAATAAACTTGGTACTTGATAACTTATTTTTTCTTTGCTGTCTGAACTCTAAAGAAGAACATCAAAAAAAATTTATTTCGATTTTCGCTGATATTTTGAAGGAAAATTAAATCTGATGTTTTAGATAGGTAGGTCATGTTACAGCTTTAAAAGTCTGAGGCCAAAGGAAGGGTGTATTTTTAGATAAAACAATAATATGTTTTTATATGGAATCAATCTATCAAACTTTTGGGTGATGTTTTCAAAATCAGACCTAACACACATCATCTTCATGGCAACTCGGTGACGTTGCTAGGCTGGCAAATTTCATCCAAGGCCCAAAAATGTTTACGGTTGATCGATACATCTTGATACTAAACTCATGAGCAGAACCAGGTAGCGATATTATTGAACTACTGTATCCAAAGTTAGGGCCCTCTAGTAGTGGTGCCAGCCAAACGATAACGCAACTCTGCGACTTTAACTCGTTAAACATCAGTCACGCACAATCAATGAAATCGTGACAGGCACACGCACAAACGTTTGGATTATTTCACAAACTAAGAGCTGACCACGAACGACTGTGTTACCAGTTTACCGCAACTCATGGTTTATATAACCACTCGCCAAACAAATAAACTAATATTAATAAAGTGAAAATTGTTGCCGGAGGTCGGTGGTTCGAAAATGGGAAAGGCGCCATGCTACCTGAACTGCGCACTGACTAACGTGCTGCAAAGGGACTCCGCAGTTGGACGGTGGAGAACTCGTGCTTTGATTGACCCTAGAAAGGTTCTATTTTTGCCATTCGCGTTGCAATAGTGGAATTAAAGGGCCTTAATCTTCGCGGTTATTTTCTACAGGAAATAATAAAACACGTTTTTAGGCTTCACTGATGAATCACACATACATATAAGTTAGTTACACAATGAAACACGTTCTTAGGCTTCAGTGACGAATTACACACACATATAAGTTAGTTACACAATAAAACACGCCCTTAGGCTTCAGTGATGAATTACACACACATATAAGTTAGTTACACAATAAAACACGTTCTTAGGCTTCAGTGATGAATTACACACACATATAAGTTAGTTACACAATAAAACACGTAAAACACGTTCTTAGGCTTCAGTGATGAATTACACAAACATATAAGTTAGTTACAGAATAAAACACGTTCTTAGGCTTCAGTGATGAATTACACAAACATATAACTTAGTTACACAATAAAACACGTTCTTAGGCTTCACTGGTGAATTACACAAACATATAAGTTAGTTACACAATAAAACACGTTCTTAGGCTTCAGTGATGAATTACACAAACATATAAGTTAGTTACACAATAACACACGTCCTTAGGCTTCAGTGATGAATTACACAAATATATAGGTTAGTTACACAATAACACACGTCCTTCAGCTTCTATAAGTTAATTTCACATATACGTTCGGCTGATTACTTAGAACCAGCAATTTACATGTCTGACTTTCTTCATTTTACAGAGGTGGTTGAAAATTTCAGGCTTATTGGTGTTACCAGTATTATAAAATAAAGAGTTACACCGTTTCGGAACTTTTGGCTGTTATATAGCTTTTGGAGCTTAATTTCAAACTGCTTCAGTGCGTAGGATTAAAAAGTAGTTCCGTAAACAGTTTATTGACTTGGTGTTTATTAGATCCAATTTCTAGAAAGCTGAGAAATGTCTAATTTAGAAAAAAAAAGACCATTATTCTTCACCGTTCCCTGGAATTTCTTTGTAGTCTCTCCCATGCATATTTAACATTGGTAGTCGCTGAAAATTCGAATTAATGGCTATTTTTGTTGGAATATACTTTACACACAGCAAGCAAAAACTTCATTTTAACACGTCTATACAACTGTGTCTATAATGGTACATTTGTACTTATTACATGTCTTGCTGGTTGGCGTTTCTCTTTCCTTCGATATCTCTTCCCATACGTATAATTTTGCCCCCCCCCAGTGGCACAGCGGTATGTCTGCGGTCTTACAACTCTAGAATCCGGGTTTCGATACCCGTGGTGGGCAGAGCACAGATAGCCCGTTGTGCAGCTTTGTGCTTAATTACAAACAAACGTATAATTTTACTCCCGATCTAAGTACGGTTAATCGCCCCCAGTGGTACAGCGGTATGTCTGCGGACTTACAACGCTAGAATCCGGGTTTCGATACCCGTGGTGGGCAGAGCACAGATATCCCATTGTGTAGCTTTGTGCTTAATTACAAACAAACAAACTCTAAACCTGTATTTGGATTATATTTTTTAAGTTTCTTTGTCTAAAGTTTCAGAGGCTTTGATACATTATTAAAATGTCAGAAGTGGAAATTTTAGGACTCTATGCTCGTTCTTAATTAAATTTATATTTTTATTTAATTTCACTGTTTGCATATTTCTTATCATTTTTAATATACCGCTTATTATTTTTTTTATTGGGAATTAATTGCACTCAATAAAAACAATATTCCAGTCTCTTGCTGCCCCCCTGGAAACTATTTCCACCAGCATCGATCGTGATCAGTTTTTCTATGATCGATGGACGATTAAATCACTTTTAAAACTCGTTTTTGTAGCCTCCATCATACATGGGCATTCAAGCTGTATCAGAGGACTTGTAAACTATGTGACTGAACAGATTGTGATTCACCCCACCCCCTCTTATACCATTGAACCACCGGGGGATATTTCTGTGTTGAAAAGAAACAATAAAACATCTGCACGTTCATTTTTGTAATGTTATTAATCATGTATTTCGGGGGAGTGCCATCTATTGGTGTATTTTGTAATTACAGTGAAATCTCTGTCACGTAAAAATACTTTTGGAAAACGAAATTATCTATAGCACGTTCCTTGCACCAAAGGACTATTAGTGTAGTGTTTCGATCTACGTAACACAGTCCTGATCTTCCACGAGCTACCAGCAGGAAATAAACAACGTTTCGTATGCCGTCGCTTACTAGGGCGACTTATATCGTCGTCATCGCGTTCTCGGTCGTTAACTGCGTGACATAGAAATTGGAATTTTCAACTTTAGGGGCACCTTTCTAGTAT